TGGTCAAGTTGATCCACTCAACCTTGGCCATCACAGAACTATCCATGTCTCTCCTGAATCCAGACAAGAAAAATTTAATTAGTAGGGCATTTTTGTAGTGATACAAAGTACCCCATTACAAAGACCATACGTTATTCTTGGTACCAAAGATGGATTCCTCCTTTCTGCACTGAAGCCAGGGCTACTCCCAATCTAGGAAGTTAGTTTCCAATGGGTGGAGCAGATGTCCTTAAGTATTTTTTTTTAACTATTAAAACTGAAAGTTCTTGCAAACTTGGCTTTGGATATTCCTCCATGGGTTTGAGAGCTGCTGTGGTATGCATGCTTACTGTGTGCACAGTTCTTTTATAACCTTCTGTAGCCTTATAACCTTATAAAAGTCTGACTCAAGTGCAAACCCGGATCCCTCCTTCTCCTTCCAGAATACATTTAAAATCCATTCATCTCACAATGTGTTGAGTTGGCCAGCATGGTTATACTGTGCCCAAATACAGTTCCATGGTAATTGTATATATTTTTAATCTACAGAATTTTGTTATTAAAAATGGGCTTTTCCAGAAAAAAGACATGTATGCCCCATGTGCTATCCCTGTCCTTTATATTTCACTTCTTGTCCTGATGGAGGTCCAGATAAAATCTTCCTAGTGGGTCTTCAGACAATAAGGATAATAATGATTCCATTCCATTTGGGAATTCCAAAAAGGCTGGTAATCTCCAACAGATCAGGAGAAACTACCTATTCCAAAATCTCATCATCAGCTTGCTCAAGTTAAAAGTCATCAGGAAACGTTATTGTAATATTGCTCCACAAGATAATACCAAGAGAAGAAGAACATAAGAATGGCTGTTGTTGGGTCAGACCAATGGTCTATCTAGCCCACTATCCTGTCTTCTGACAGTGGCCAATGCCAGGTACTTCAGAGGGAATAAACAGAACTGGGCAATTATCAAGTGAGCCGTCCCCTGTCGTCCAGATTCAGCTACTGGCAGTCAGAGGTTAGGGACACCCAGAGCATTGGGTTGCATCCCTGACCATCTTGGCTAATAGCCATTGGTGGACCTATCCTCCATGAATTTATATCATTATTTTATAAACCCAGCTCAAAGGAAGAACTTTAAGCAGTTACTCCCAAACTAGGTACTTGGGTAGGGACAGCCCAACAGTCAACAGTAAAATAGCTGACACTTTACAGTGAGAAACCAAAATTACAGGAAAGGAAACTAATTTTACCTTCAGGCTTTCTTTATTAATCATAAAGCAGCAAGAAAGGGCAGTAATACATTTTTTTGCAAGCCACCTTTAATGCCAAAAGTTGGAGAGTGACAAATATTTAAATGTCTTAGTTTTATGACTCAGATTATTTTTAAAAACTTGTCACTTGTGGAGTTTTTAAGGAAGAAAATTGAAGCTTTACAGAAAAGAAAAGCAGAGTGGTGCAACACCATTTAGTGCTTAGAAGCCCAAGTCACGTTCAGTGTAAATGTTCAACTATCCAAGGGTTCTTCTCTTCCTTTAAGAGGCTTCCCGTTCAACAGAATTTAAGCAACTGACTAATAAACTCCAGTTTCAGTAACTTGCTTCTTCCCCTTCCCTTGTTGAGATTTAGCTGCTAAAAGACCTAATGACACAGTTGGCAATTTATCATACGCTTGCTACATAACAACATTAAGTTCCTGTAATTCCTCACTCATCAAACTCTTTAAAAACTTATCTTCATTGCACACTTTCATGTGCATGTCTCTTCTTCTTAATACTTAGGATTTGTAGAAACAAGTGTGTTATCTTTCATGTTTTTGTTTTTCTGTGATGCTGCAGTGTGGGGAAAATACAAAGGAAAAGAGACAGTTTATTTACAATACTTTAGGTGAAAATGTAGCCAAACAAACATTGTTCCAAGCATCAGCCCTGCCTTGGCAGTATGCAGTCTCGTCTTTTTGTGACTCCTGTACCACGCAAACACCTGCATAACAATAGGTTGCACTATTAGAAAATTTTGAAAGCCATACCCTTTAACAGATGATACATTGAAAAATTAGAAGGGCTCTTTTTACAAGTGAAGGATATTGGGTGGTGTTTGCTTTGGATGCTCCATAGTGTCTGGATTTAACTTATTTCCCTCCCCCCCGCCCCCCCGTCTGGTCACTAGAAGCAAAAACAATGTAACTTCCCTTTCCAACATAAATCTGCTCTAAAATCACTTAGAAATCATTTATGGTTCCACATATTGGCTGTTCCTATGAAATCCACTTCTGCAAATATTTGGAGCCTCACACTTTGGTGCATTTTTCTAACATTTTGAAAATTAATATGCTATGCTGGCTCATTACCCTTCTTTAAAACTGAAGTAACTAAATTTCCTCTAATTCTATCCAGTTTTTCTTTCTGAGGCTCGGTTTGTTCAGCAGCACATGCACACCAAGTTTAAAGTTTTTAAAAAGCCATTTGTAGTTATCCAAGCACAAACATGAAATAATCTGGATTTGTCTAAAACTGAAAAAGCAAGAATTTTCCACCTAGAAATTTTTTCCAACTGCTATAAAAATTTCCACCCAAATATTACTTCTAGTCTGAAAGAAGATGTGAAACCCCTTCATGAAATCCATAAAGAAATGTTCTGAGAAATATACGGAAATAGGGGTTGGAAGTGGAAGTGTCAACTCAGCTATAACCATAGCACTGCCGTAGCAATTCTGTGGCTAAGTATATTTTAATACTTTAATAGTGATCCAAACAATAGTAATTCTTTATAAAGTGTACTTGGAGCTGCTGTGTAAGACTTACCATCTGTGACTGGGGTCCCAGTGGGGGCCAGCTGTGGTCATTCAATTCAGGTGAACTGCAAAGAATGGGGCAGACAATCCCCATAAAGCTGGTGGTTATTCCAATACTTAGATTTACCAAGCCTGCACAAAACAGCTTCTTTATTACCTCACTGGTTACTCAGAAGTCTAAACAACACAGTTCCTTTAAAGTGATCCAGCGTTAGGCCTCCATCCAGATACCCAAGTCAAATATGATGATTTCTGAAAATCTTATTTCATCATATAAAAGAAAAGGTTCTACTAATCCCAAAGAATCAGACACATTACCTCCCAGGTTAATGAATGTTTCAGATCTTACCCAAATACAGGCTACAGCCAATTCTTATTAACTAAACTAAAATTTATTAAAAAACAACACAGAGAGAGTATGGGTAAAAGATAATATACATACAGACATGAGTTCAATTTATTGAGGTTCAGATTCATAGCCGAGATGGTGAGCTTTGTAGTTGCAAAGAGTTCTTTTAGAAATAGTTCATAGGTTATAGTCCAGTGTCCAAATGTCATATTCAGGGCTTATCAGCATAACTGGGACCTCAGTCTTGCGACTCAAACTTCCCCTGACCTGACGAAGCCTAAGCAGATCTGAGATGACAGAATCAGGACCCAAGGATCTTGTATACAATTTCATGTCTTTTGACAAGTTGGGAGTTCAAAAGGTAATTAGCATGACTTTGAAGGAGGTCCATCACCGGTACTTAGCTATAGAATTAACATAAGGCAATTTGTTTGTTCCTCCACCATTCGCAGATTATTTGCTATACATTTCAAAGAGAGATGAATACAAAGATTTACAATTCATTTAAATGATAGGATGTTCTTTTGACCTCTGAATTATCAGAATACAGCATAGACAGGGACTGATTACATTGTCGGAGGACCCTACTCATACATATGTAAATACACAAAACCACAAATATTATCTCCCCACATGTCTTTTGAGGGTTGTTTATTTTGCAGGATGTTTAACCCTTTCTAGCCATGCCTCACACCATCTTTTTAGGGAAGGCAAATATTTGCATGTAAATAGGTTGACGGCAGATTAATATGACCACTGCACTGTTTTTAATCATCTGAGAATCCTTCGTAAATAACAGCCACTTCAGTGTGATGTACTGTATTTTCAGTGAGCCCTATACACTACACCCTATACAGTGAAACTACAACTGGTCTTGAACAGGCTGATTTTAGCTTTTAAATGTATTGAGTTCAATGTTACCCTTTTTCCACAGTGAAAGAAAGTATTTTAAATGTAATGGGTTTACCATCTCTCCAGTCTTCCTTGTCACCCCCCCCAAGCTGTCTCCTCAGTAGAGCTAGGCAAAAAAATTTCAGCAAAAAATGCATTTTTCAGGGTCTGAAACTATTTGCTTAATTGGGGGAATAGCATCAGTTAGGGGGGAAATGTCAAAGGGTCAAAATGTTTCAATTGGAACATTTCAATTTGGAATCTGGCCAGTTTAAAACAAAACACACACAAAAGGTGAAAAACACCCCAAAAGGCCGAAATCAAAACAAAAAACTTGGGGAAAAAAAATTGATTGGACTGAAATGTTTTGGTCGACTCGAAATGAATATAAAAACTGAAAAAATGTCCTTTCGGGTCAACTCAAAACGTTTCAGTTTTTTCAAAATCAAATTTTTACAAGTCTTCTGATTCAGTGAAAAAAATTGTTGGTTCAAATCAAACTGGAATTTTTTTCAGTTTTTCTTGTTTGGCTCCTGAACCGAAAAATCTAGTATTTGCTCAGCTCTAATCATTTAATCTTTGGGAGTTGGGAGAGAATTTCTTTTTTGTGGCTTTAAAATGTGGTCATCTTGATTCTGGTAAGCTGCTTTTTAAGGTTTTAACTTTGACCCAGCTTGCAATGAGATGGATGGTAGGATGGGTATCCCCTTTTTCCAGCTGGCTCAGAAATAATATTAATAGATGAGAATACAGTGAAATAGGAAGTAATCTGAGTTCCGAGCAATTGTTTAACAAATATGAGTCAGTTCTGTAATTTGTAGCTCTTTATTTTTGTAAACATCCTGCTTGATCTAAATAAAAATCGGGGAGGGGGGGGAAGGAGTTCACACTAGTGCTACACTGATTCTTAACTTCTCTGCTCCTCGCCCCTTCCCCTCAATTCCTACAAGTTCTTTTACATCTTTTTTTTTTCTTCTCCCCTTCACAGTGGTAGTCGCTCTTCTAAAACCTTTAAACCAAAGAAAAACATTCCGGAGGGGTCTCACCAGTATGAGCTGTTAAAACATGCAGAAGCCACGCTTGGAAGCGGTAATCTCCGGATGGCCGTTATGCTGCCAGAGGGTGAAGATTTAAATGAATGGGTTGCAGTTAATAGTAAGTTGACTGACCTTTTTTACATGAGGTGGGCAGTGATGTGTCTGATAATGGATAAGGACAACTGCATAGCTGTCTCTTGTGCAGTGTGTGGTTCTTAATGCACTGGTCAGTCTATGTTGTACTGTAATTGAAAGAGCAGAACTGTGGTGTCTGTTAGAATTCACAGCAGCTAAGTGGCTCAAGCTAAAAACCCCTCTGTTCCATGTGGTGAAATTATGGGTTTTTCCAAAACCAATTGCTTCTCTTTGTGGTTAAAATCTAAATGCTCATTCACAAATCAGATGAGCAGTGAAGGGGAAACACCAACACTGTTTCTAGCAAATAACTAAGTATCATCCTAGGGTGATTTACTCCTTCAGATTCCAGCTAGAGCTGTGTTTCTCAATTGTACATGCTTCTCCACATTGAGTTTCAAACATTTGCTTGGATGAATACTACTCAGGATCAAGTCTAAAATGGATGTGAAGATTATAAATGTGTATATATAGAATGTCTTCCGTCTGCCCTCACCAAATTCTAAGCTTTTTCTTTACATTTCCAAAGCTAATCTCTTCCTTTTGTTCCTGCCAAGGTGTTAGTCTATGTTCTGGTAACTTCCTGACTTGGTTATTATAACTTTGTCCTTGCTGTTTCTCCTATCACTTTCTTCCCATCCAGTCTATGCAAAAGAGATGCCCAAATTATCATCCTTTCTGCCTGCTCTAACCATGTTTCCCCTTCTTCTTTCTCCCCCTCTGAATATTTACACTGGCTTCCTCTCTTCTGTAGTAAGTTCAAGGTTCTCCTCACTTACAAAGCTCTCTTGAATACCATCCCTGCCTACAACTCCCATCCTTTATATTTTGCACATGCCTCTCCTGATCACTCATTTTATCTCCTTTGTACTGCCTTTCCTGGTGCCCCATCATCTTGGAACAAACACTCAGGGAGCCAGCCCCCTCCATCAAAAATTCCTACAGCCCTACATTTCATGGAGAGTTTTGGCTGTAATAATCAGATGCCCCATGTAATGTTGATATTCTACCTGTTTTGCATTTAGACTGTAGACTCTTCAGGGCAGGAACTTGGTGGTTTGGTGTGCTTCCCCTGTTGCACAATGTTGTATACATGGGTGTGCAGTATAAATAGTACTTTGGACGAATGTATATTTTAAACAGTGTGTTTCCTTTCCACATTTTATGCTGCTTGGACAGTAAAGCAATACTGCCCAGCTTGGCCTTCTAGTTCCTATACATCCGCACGATGCTATGGTACGAGTTTCCAACATTACAAGGGAATATTTAAATCATCGAAATAGGTCATTTACAAAATTTAGCATGAATAGATTTTTTTTTAAACTGTCTAAAAAGCAAACTAATTTTGGTGACTAAACATTACCAAGGATGCTTCATATACCAATTATACTACTTCTGCTTTCAGTTGCTCTCCAGTTTGCCACCATCAAAGCCTATTAAAGGTGGCCTGTAAACGACAAACATTGGGTTTGTTACCTGTTTAGGATATATAAAGAAGGCCTAATATTGTGTGCCCTCCCTAGTAGAAGGGTATGTTCTCCTCATGCTGCAGGCACAACTGTACAAGTAAAGCAGTGTGCCTCAGTCTGAGGGAGCAGAGAGGGTAATGTTTCAAAACTGCTGGGCAAAGAACAATGGAGGAGAAAAATAGAACTTAGGAATTGCCCTGCCAGATTAGACTGGTGCTATGTCTCATCTGATGTCATGTCTCGTGACCGTGGCCAATATTTGGTAATACAGAGGAAAATGGTAGGATCCCTGAATTGGGTAATTACGGAGTTATTTGCCCATATAAGTTTCTTCCTTATCCCAAACAGTGGGTGGGATGGTTGGCTGATGCATGAGGGTTTATGTATCGTTTAACGTAATTGTGGATTTTCCTCTTATCCATATAAATGCCTAACCCTTTTTGAATCTTGCCAGAACTTGACCTCTATGATGTTTTGTGCCAATGGGTTACATATGTGTGTCAAATAGTTGATCCATTTTACAAAATAGTTTTATTGTGGGAACTTTCAATGAAGTTGAAAGGCAAAAAAACTAAAATATTTTTAAATTATTGCGTTTAATGTCTTACATGTGCAATAAACATATGAGCTTAAAAACCCCTTATGAGAAGCCTGCTATTCTCCTTTTTTCAGAGAAGAAAGAAATTGAGGTACAAAATTTTAAATGTCTTCCCCGAAGACACAGTGACAGATGTGGAAATAAAACCCACAAACCTTGGTTCTTTACTTGTTTTAATCAGCAGATAACACACACTTCCATAACTGGAGAAACTGCTTTAAAAAAAACCACTACAACCTTCAGCTCTGTGACTGAAAAGGGGAAATTAACAGGCTAAGGCACTGCATAACATATGTCAAAAACGGGTGGCCCACATTGTGCTTGTTTGTCACACACTGATGAATTTGGAGGTTGGGAGATATGCTTCATGCCCTTTTGAAACTCAGAATGTGGGCTTCAAAGCAATAACAGTCATACTTTCAAAGCCTGTGTGGATTTGGGCATGTCTGCATTTAAGGAGTCATCGGGGTTAGTGGGGTTTTGGGGGAGTGAGGATTGGAAACCTAATTAACAGCTCTTGAAGACTGGAACGTTCAAAATTGGCTGCAATATACAAAATCTGCTTGCAGTTCTTTTGATATTAAAATTTCCTATTAAGATTTTAATAATTTATGGTGTGGTTTTTTTTCCCCCAACAAGTGTTAACAACCCTCCCTTTCCATGACTACCTCCCTCTTCCCCTTCCCCCTCCCTCCCTGAATGATGTCTTGCCATTTGCTGCTACTGCTTCTCCAAAGAATGTGCACTAAACACACGATCCACCAGTCTTGAGCTGATTTGCTCCTGGGTGATTGTGCTTGCACAATGCAGTTTATAGCCTGTGTTTACTACATCAACTGAAAAGTGGGATGAACTAAAATAACTGGCAGGAATTTGCTGGGCATGCTCTGCATATAGTCTATGAAGTAACTTTCTTTAAGTGTCATTTATGGAGCCTAAAGGATCTCTCCTGTCCTCTCCCCTACCTCAGATACTTACCTTGACAATCCTTGAGTTCTGGGGGTGGATCCCTTTTCCATGAGGGGATTGCCCAAAAGAACTCCCTTAAGTTCAGACCTTTCACTGGGGGTTTGTTACTGAGCAGTGCAAGTTATTTTCTTAGTGCCCTGCCCCAAGCTCAACCCCAGCCTTGGATAACAGGTTCAGTGAGACTGAAATGGCTGAGCACGATGTTTCATGTAAAGACTGCAAAACCCACAGTGCTCCCTAGCGGTCTGCAGATTGTACTTGTGGGAGTGCTGCATTTTGTAACGGATAGCTCTGTAAATGTCACCTTCTAATGAAGGCTATCAATACAAAAATGTCTATCTGAATGCTCCAAAGATGAGTCAATAGGATATTCAGCTACTTGTGCATTGGGAGTGAAGAGCCGTATTCTTCGCTGAACACTCATTCAAATGACATTTAAGGATGTGATTTGTTTGTCAAGCTCACTCAATGAGGGCATTAATTGAGTATTTTGGGGATCCATCGCAGCATGACACAGGCATAGAAGTGGCCCTAATTTGGTTTCACACACCTTGCCCAACTAAGATAAGTAGTGGAAGGTCTTAAGTCTCTTAGGGCTTGTCTACACTGCCACTTACAGCACTGAAACTTTCCGCGCTCAGGGGTGTGAAAAAACACGCCCCTGAACGATGCAAGTTTCAGCGCTGTAAAGTGGCAGTGTAGACAGTGCTATAGCTCTGGGAGCTAGTCCCCTCGCGGAGGTGGGTTTTTTTTACAGTGCTGGGAGAGCTCACTCTGGAGCCGTGACTACACCGCTGATGTTAAAGCGCTGCTGCAGCAACACTTTAATGTCAGCTGTGTAGACATACCCTAAGGGTACATCTACACAGCAAGCAGCAACCCATTGCAGAGCCCAGGTCTACAGACTCAGGCTTGCACTAAAGTTTTAAAAATAGCTGCATAGATGTTTGGGCTTGGGCTCTGAGGCCCACCCCCGGACCTAGGCATTGGAGCCTGAGCTCCAGCCATAGCTCAAATGTCTACACTGCTATTTTTAGTGCCAAAGTGCAAACCCCACAAGGCTGAGTCTGAAGACCCAGACTCTGAGACATGCTGCCATGGGCTGCTGTTTGCTGTGTAAAAGTGCCCTCAGTGCTTTTGTTGAGTCTGCAGACAGGCGGAAACAAAATTAATTGTGCATCTATTCACATTGTCAAAACTAGCCATGCAGCCAAAAGGGCTAGAAACTTCATTTAGCAGTGACAAAATGAAATACAGTAACTCCTCACTTAAAGTCCTCCCGCTTAACGTTGTTTCGAAGTTACGTTAGGGAACATACTTGTTTAAAGTTGTGCAATGCTCCCTTATAATGTCGTTTGGCTGACTTTATAAGGGAGCATTGCACAAGTTCCTCTGCCTCCTCCCCCTCCCTTCCTCCCTCCCTCCCAGCGCTTCCCCCGCCGCCAAACAGCTGTTTGGCGGCGCTTAGGACTTTCTGGGAGGGAGCGAGCAAGCGAGCGGGGAAACTTTGAAGGGGAAAGCGTTGCTTTTCTCCAGCCGCTGGCTGCGCGAATGCCCCTGCTTCTCCTGAGTCCTCCTGCCCGTGCTTGCAGGGCCGCATTCTGAAAGGGGCTTTAGAGCTGCAGGCCAGGGCCCCGGGGCCCCCTTAGCCCAGGGCCATGCAGCCCCTAAAGCCCCTGCATTCTGGGTGGCCCTGCCTGCCCCGGGGGGGGGGGGGGGGGGGCAGCTCCCAGAATCGCGGCCATGGGGGCGGTGCCGCGCTGCACAGAGCCACCTGCACACCCCCTGCACCAAACAGGAGCTGCCGCAGGTAAGTGCTCTGCACCTCCTGCCTGCATCTCCTCCCGCACTCCAACCCTGAGCGTCCTCCTGCATCCTAACTGCCTCCCAGACCCCACACCCCCACCCTGAGCACCCTCCTGCACCTTAACTTCCTCCCAGACCCTGCACCCCCAGCCCTGAGCCCCAGGGGTAAGCCAGGGGCACCTCCCCACTACAGTACAGTACTGTACAGTATATAATGCCTTTTGTCTGCCCCAAAAAATGTCCTTGGAACCTAACCCCCTGCATTTACATTAAATCTTATGGGAAAACTGGATTCGTTTAACATCGTTTCACTTAAAGTTGCATTTTTCAGGAACATAACTACAACGTTAAGTGAGGAGTTACTGTAATAGATTTTGTAAATTGCAGCTGAATCTGTCTAAATTTCACATCAATTTTTTTTTGTTTGTTTTTTGTATGTAAAATATCATAGATCATCTTTTCTTGTGGATTTGTCTTACTTGAGCTCGCCAGCAGAGACTATTACAGTAGCTGGATTCTTCCTGGGTGGAAGGCAGATGGGAATAATTGCAGGAAGACAGATGGAACCTTTATCCCGATGAAGTGTTATGCATAGAACCGGAAGTATTTAGCTGTTACCAATCACAAATTTGTTCCATGAAATACAGCTTGTGATTGATTCTCCTGTTTTAATTTTGCCTGTAATTTACATTGAACCGAGACAAAATATGCTCCTATATTCCTTTGCGTGGCATTGGAGCAACCAGGAGTGTGCCAACTGCAATCATGATCGGTCAATGGGGGGAAAAGTAGGTTTATTTTTATAAATTGATTACAGAATCCAAGCCTTTCAAAAACAAGAGCTGAAAGTTAGGCTCCTAAATAAGAGGCCTGATTTTTAAAAAGCACCGAGCACCCAGCACCTCCTATTGCTGCTTGGGAGCCCAGCAAGTTTGAAAAAAAATGTTTAGGCTCTATTTTAAAAAATGTTGACCAAGATAGATTATATATGGTAACTCTTTTCCTTCCTTGCGAAAGATGCAATATTATTAAATATTTCAGACAGCTCTCTCCCAGAATGTGTAATAAGCATGCCCCCAAAATAAACAAACGCTCAATGAAATGCACTGCTAAATGAAGTGCAATGTTTTTAAATACATTAAAAGGCCAAAACATAAATTCTTAATAGTTGGCTCATAACCAGCAGAACAGAAATCGTTGTATGGCGATGGACGTTAATAGAACATTTACACGCAACTGTCTTATTTTGTCTGAGCCTCACATTTCCTTTGTAATATTTACAAAGCAATTAACAATGTGGAAGCTTCATGACATAACTCTAGACACCTGGTCAGCAGTGGGAATTTTGTAATTAGAACTGCATGAAGTTTGCATTGTTGGCAGACTGTTACCAGACTGCTAACTGACTATTTAAATTCTTACAGCTGTGGACTTCTTCAACCAGATCAATATGCTTTATGGTACCATTACAGACTTCTGTACAGAAGAGAGCTGCCCAGTGATGTCAGCTGGCCCAAAGTAAGAATACTTGTTATATATTATTGAGAGAGTGCAACTTTTGAGATCAATCTCTATTTGCAAACGTGTGATAATGCTCAGTTCCTCTTGCATTAAAGGTGACTTACAAAGATGGAGAAAATGTTGTGCCCTCTCTTGTTGCTTTATGATATAAAAAGAAGACCTGACAATGCGGGGATGGAGGGGGGGCACTGAGGTTCTCCCCCACCCCCAATCTTAGAAATATCTTGAATGTCCAATTTGATCTTTCCCAGTGAGTTCTCTAACAAAAAAAAGTTTCTGTAAGGCAGACTGGTATCCATTTAACCCCCTAAATGAAGGGTTGGGGATACGGAAAGCTTTCTTTTTTTCATGTGTTTTAGTTAACTAGATATTACAAAAATAATCTACCACAGTTTTAAACAGTCTGACTAGAAATCCCTCCCCCTCTCAATTGCTGAAGTTTGACTCACTTGATACATGTCATCTTGTACTTCTGCTAGTTCTGCAGCTGTCCAGTGTCTTACAGAGCGGAAAATACCTGACATTCTAATGTAAAATAAACTGGGAAACAAATCTTCTGTATACTGAAAAGAGCTTGATATTACACATAAATATTTTATAAAAAAGTGTGCGTGTGCATCTTCCACCTCTCTCTGCTTTTACTTCCATATGCAACATGAACTCTGAATTTGTAATATGTAATTAAGGAATACAGTGAAACTATTCATCTGCAATACTGTTTATTTTATTAGAAGCAAGCATGCTGTGTTGACTTGGTGGGCTTAAGTTAGTGATAAAGATTTAGAAGAGTGCTTGTCTACCCATGCAACCAGCCTAGTGTGGTGCAGTTATACCAGTATAAAAGTGTCTTCTACTAGCAGAGCTTGTTCCCCTTTCCATACGAAAATAAGGCCTGGTCTAGACAACAAAGTTAGGTTGACATAAGCTGCCTTGCGTCAATCTAGTTGCACATGTGTCTACACTTACATTTGTTTCCCGCCGATGTAAGTGCTCTGTTACAGTGAGGCAGTATTAGCACCTCCCCGAGTGGCATTGAGCTATCATTGTGCTGAGGTTGACACAGTGCGAGTGTAGGCACTGCATTACCTGTGTCAACCTGAACAGATCTCCAGCAGCTGTCCCACAATGCTCGACACTGACTGCTCTGGTCACAGTTGTGAACTCCACTGCCCAGGGTTCACTGAGACTGGAAGCCCGCCCCCTCCTTTAAAGCCCTGTACATTTTTGAAATGCCTTTTTGTGATTGTCCAGTTTGGTGAGCATGCCTACCAGCTCTCCATTGTTGTGTGCACCTGCCCAGCTGACCATGCCGGCTACACTCTCCAGACATGCTCTGGCCTGGAGGCTGTGTGGAGAAGATGCTGTAGAAATGTGGGCATCTGTAAGCAGATTGCATCGGTGATTCAAGAGAAGTGGTACGACAGGGATCAGCAGCAGTGCTGTGTGAAAGCAAAGGAGCTGTGGCAGGCATATCAGAAGGCGAGGGAGGCCAACAGTCAATCTGGTGCCGAGCTGGAGACCTGTCACTTTTACAAAGAGCTGCAGGCCATGCTTGATGGAGACCCCACTACCACCCTGTAGACTACTCGGGATACCTCTGAGGAGCTCAAGTCAGAGGCCCCTGCTGTGAACAGTGAGGAAGAGGAGGAGAAGGAAGAGCAGGAGGATGGGGGACATGCGACCTGGGGGTCCAGTTACGACACGAGCCAGGACCTGTTTGAGGCTCCACTACAGTCCAGTCAGCCTTGGCAGTTGAGCATGGGCAAGCCCAATGCAGCGGAAGGAACCTTGGGTAAGTGTTTCAAAGTATTTCCCATTACAATTATGTGCCCCCAGCTTAACAAGACCTACCTATTGACTTTTCATTAATTTACTCACTCCAGAAGAGGTAGCAGTACAACAATAAGAGGTAGAGTTACCTGCTTTTCGTTCCCCTGTAGAATTAGGCAGGAGGGCCATGCAGCACAGTTTGTTTGTGTATACCAGGATGTCTCCTTAATCCTCCTGAGATCTTGATAAAACTTCCATGGCAGTACTCTGCAATCCTCTCCCAAAGGTTTCTAGGGATGGCAGCCTTATTTTTTCCTCCGGGTAGGACTTTCCCACACCAGTCAGCAATAACTTTGGTAGGCATCGTTGCAGGAAACAGGCTGGCGGTATACTGGCCTGGGTGGCTTCGGGACACCAGTAGCAGCTGTGCTCTCCGTGCCTTTGTTACCCTAAGGAGTGAGATATCCGCTAAAATCACCACCGCCTGTGGAAAACAGTGCCAGTATTCAATACCGTTGCCCTTCACTCGTAGTTCCATGCAACGGAGCAATTCCCTCCTCATTTCCCTTCTCCCTGGTGGGCCGTACTCACCATGACTGGTGCTGTGAGTGGTGCCATGCATAAGCATTCCAAAGCAGCAGTGTCAATAAGCATGTCTTGTTTAAAACTCATGGGGAGCGAGGGAAGGGAGTTCTGAATCTTAACTTTAGCTTTCCGTTGTCATTATATTGACAATGGTACCTCTGGATGTTTTTCTGTAGTTGCTGCTGTTGCAGCCTTGAGGGATTTCCCCTCCACACCTGCGGAACACCTGAGCCAGAGAAGGAGGAGAAAGAAGAGGACTAGAGATGACCTATTCAGTGAGATCTGGGAAGCCAGTGTTGCATCAGACCGTGAGCAGAGGGCCTGGAGGGTGAATACTGCCGACTGTATGGAGAAGGAAAGACCTGACAGGAGAGAGGCACAGGAGTCCCACCAGGAAAAGGAAAGGGAGGGAGATGCACCAGGACATAATGGGGCTTCTCTGGCAACAAACACAGATGCTGCAGACTCTTGTGGACCTACAGGTTCAACAATCCCGGGCTCGCCTCCCTTTGCAGTCCATGGAAAACTCCATTACAACACCTCCCTACATCCCCCTCAATGTTCCACATGGCATCAGGGGCCACATCCCGAACCCTACCACTCCTCCCTACAGGAATGTTAAGGAGAACCACAGCTTCACACCCACTGACATGTGAAAGCCATGGTTGCTGTGTGTAGCTAACATGGACCTGAATGTTTTTTCCACTTAAGTTCTGTTCCATAAATTTATTAAGGCTTTAATGCATTTGCTTTTAATTTGCACAGAATTTTTTTTTACAATATTTGCCTTACTCAATAAAATTTTATTGTTTGGAAAATAATTAATCTTTTAGTTCCCAGCATATGCTGCAGAATGTGTAATGGTAGTGAAAGCACCCACTTGCTGAACGGTCTGACACAACTCACAGGATCAGTGACAAACAGTGTAATAGTCATAAATGTACAGCGAGCACCATGAAATAAATAGGTGCATTGACACTGTTATATTCATAAATGTACACCAAATACAGTACTCCACAATTCCTAACAAGCCCCAAGACAGCCGGGCTCAGGTAGAGCACAGTACATCACAACCCATTACTGTGGTTTACTGTCAGTGTTTTTTTTAAAGGCTCCCAGTGCCATATAGCTCCATGTTGAGCTCTTCTAATAGCTCTTGTGTCTGGCTGTTCAAACTCATCAGACAGCCGCTCTACCTCTGCTCTTCATCCTGGCAGCAACTTTTCCCCCTTTGCTTCAGAGATATTATGCAGGACACAGCAGGCTGCTATAACCATTGGGATATTTTTCTCACTAAGATCCAGTCTTGTGAGTAAACAACACCAGCTTCCTTTCAGTCTACCAAAAGTACATTCAACTGTCATTCTGCACCTGCTGAACTGGTAGTTGAATCTTTCTTTGGTGCTGTCGAGGTGGCTGGTTTATGGCTTCATGAGCCAGGAAAGCAAAGGGTAGGCTGGTCCCCCAAGATCACTGTTGGCATTTCAACATCGCCTATGGTGATCCACTTGTCGGGAAAGTAGGTCCCTGCTTGTAGCTTTCTGAACATTCCTGTGTTCTTAAGATGCGAGTGTCGTGCACCTTCCCTGACCAGCCCACTTTGGTGTTGGTGAAGCATCCCGGTGATCCAGCAGTACTTGCATAACCATAGAAAAGTAGCCCTTTCTGTAGATTACGCTGTGGCAAGGTGGTCTGGTGTCAAAATAGGATATGCGTAGGGGTCACTCGACTGTGGTTTTGGAACCCTGCTGCTGCAAATCCATCCACTTAAGTCCTGCACGTTGCCAAGAGTCACAGTCCTGCAGGAGGCGATTAATGGCCCTGCACGCTTACATGACATCAGCCCCCAGAGGGGATTTTCCAACTCCAAAATGATTTCCCACTGACCGGTAACAATCAGGCATTGTAAGTTTCCACAGTGTGATTGCCACTCACTTCTCCATTGTCAGTGCAGCTCTCATTCTGGTGTCCCTGCGCTGGAGGGCTGGGGCAAGCTCAGCACGCAGATCCAGGAATGTGGCATTGCACATCCAAATGTTCTGCAGCCACCGCTCATCATCCCAAACCTGCATTACGATGCAATCCAACCAATCAAGGCTCATTTCTCTGGCTCAGCAATAGTGCTCCACCATCTGCAGCTACTCCTTGAATACCACCAACAATCTTGAATTGGTTCTCGCTGTGTCCCACAGCATCTGACCTCTATGAAATCGTCATGTTCTCTGCTGATTTGGTTCTTCTTGCAGCTCTGCAAATACCAGAGGATCATGCATTCTGTGTCTGCAATGCTTAATACAATAGTGCAGAACTGTGCAGGCTCCATGCTTCTGTCAGAGATGTCAGACTGCGAGGAGGGCCACACAGGCTTGTGGAATTTTTTAAAAAAGGTAGGAAAATTATGGGATATAGATGACCTTATGGGACAGAGAAAGTTGCTTGCCTGGAAGGTGACCCCTTGCTCCCAGGTCACCCCTGAGTGACTCATTTCTGCCATACAGTGCATTGCCAAATCTTCCCAAAAGGCAGTGCGCTGAACGGTGGGACCAAGCACCTACATCCCACCACAATGGAATACCCGCACCGCACCGAGCGTCAACACACGCACTCCTGAGTGCACGCAGTGCCGACACATGGAACCAAGT